GCTGCGAGTGCTGGGGACTTGCTAGGAGCCGCCGTGTGGGAGGTGGTTTCTGGCGAGCTTTACGTTTGGCCTCAGACGTCACACAGGCTCTTCCTAGCGACACTGTTGTCCTGTTCTCTACGAGTACAAAGCTGGCGATGAGGCGGCAGCGGGTCTGCCAGGTGTTCGCTGCCCCCGCCCCCGATGGGGCTCCTTCGTGCTTGCACGGATGCTCGGGTGTGCCTAGCTCCGCTGGGGTTGCCCGAGCACTGGCTCAGCGGCACTTGGGGTCCCTGAAAGCAGTTCTCAGGGCAGCGAGGCGGCGATGACATTTGATTTTAGCGAACAGACTTGGAGAACGTTCCTGCGTCTCGGGCCTCCTGGCTTTGTTAAGCGGTGGCTGATGCCTGTTTGATTCCACAGACATCCCGTGGACCTCGGGGAAATGGAGACCGAATCCACAGAAAGCAGCTCCGAGTCCCAGGCCAGCTCCCAGGATCACAGCTTCGTAAGTAGCTTTCCTTGTGTGTCTCGGTGGTGCTCGGGCGCCCCTTTGTAAACTGAGGTTTGGTTCTGATGTCTGGAGAGGGGCGCCTCCCCTCCCCTTTCTCTGATAACCGGCAGATGATCTGATGGCGTTCCTAGGTAATGGCCGCCATTTAGGTTTTTGGTTCAGTCCGACGAATCCCGTTTCCATTGGAAAGTAAAGGCCTTTTCCCTCTGGTCTGGCTTCGGCACAGCCCGGCTGCCCGCGCTCATATGGCTGTGAGTGTGGGTGTGGACTGCTGACTGTTCCTGCGGCAGGGCCGGTGGGTGCCTGGGGATTTCCCCCACGTTTGCTAATTTTAAAAAATCCCATGTTTTTGAAAAAGAAAAATTCCAAGATGAAAAGAAACTTCCAGTATCTGATTCCATGGTTACCGGTTGGGTGCATGTTCTTGCAGACTTTTTTTTTTTTATTGATTTTAGAGAGAGAGGAAGGGAGAGAAAGAGGAACAGCAATTTTTTTGTTTCTCTTGTGGTTTTGTTGGTTGATTCTTGAATGTGTCTTGACTGGGGATCAAACCTGCAACCTTAGTGTATCAGGACGATGCTTCAACCACCTGAGCCGCCCGGCCAGGGCTCATGCAGACGTCCCGAGTGAGTGTGAGAGGGGGGGCACCAGGACACACAGGTGTTTGGTGTGGAACAGGTGTGCTTCCCCTGAGGCCACCCTGTCCTGGGGCCGGCCAGTTCCAAGGCCTGTGCACTAGGGTTGCCCTTCCTGCCTCCTTCCCTGTCACCCCTGCGAGCGGGTCCCTGCCCTCCCGGCTCCATGGCCGCGGGCGCCACGCTCTCCGAGGCTAGAAGTGGCGCCAGGGCCCAGGAGTAGAGGAAGGGCACAGGTTCCCACCATGAGGAATCGTGCTGTTCAAGGTGGTTTCTGAAGCTTAGACGTGGGGATTGTCCAGGGAGAGAAACAGGGCCGGTCAGGCAGGGCCACCCAGAGGGCAAAGGTCTCGCAGGCGGGGTCCGTCCCAGTTCAGGTTCTGGACGAGTTGTGAACTTGCGGCTGACAGTCTCAGAACTCGGAGCGTGCGCAGGCCTTGGGGGCCAGGGAGGGAAGAGGCAGGTGCGTGCGGGAGTCGGGCCGGGGAGACGAGAGCAGGGGGCACCAGGGAGGGGTGGCTCTGAGACGGTGGACTTAGTGTGATGAGCACCGGGACCGCCTGCCTGTGGCTGCAGGGCGGGGCTTTGCCGCTGGGCACGGCATCTCCCAGCACGGACTGCTCCGGACACGTGACCGCGCGGCCCTGCCGCCTGATCCAGGCCGTGTGCAGGCCTCTCGGCTGCCCCAGTGCCCCTCTCACTGCAGGTCTTTCTTTTCTGATTCAGAATTTCATCAAGGGGACACGTGTGCAGGACACGTGTACAGGCCACGTTGAAACTTCACCTGCCTGTCCACCCGTGACGTTGACACTTTTAAAAACATGCATTTAAAATTTTGGGTTTAGTTGGAATAAACATTAGGCTTCAAATGGTTTAAACCCCCTAAATTGTAAACTCTTAACAATTTTAATTCAAATGAACACACGACCTTTCAATTATACTTTTTTTTTTAAAGGGAAGTTTTTAAAAAATATATTTTCAGAGAGGAAGGGAGAGGGAGAGACAGATAGAAACATGGATGATGAGAGAGAATCATTGATCGGCTGCCTCCTGCATGCCCCCACCAGGTAGGGATCCAGCCCGCATCCCAGGCCTGTGCCCTCACTGGAAATTGAACCGTGACCTCCTGGTTCATAGGTCGTTGCCCAACCACTGAGCCATGCTGGCCGGGCCAATTAAACTTTTTTCTATCCTCATCCGAGGGTATTTTTTCCATTGACTTCTAGAGTGAGTGGGAGGGAGAGAAACATGAACACGAGAGAGACATCCGTTGGTTGCCTCCTGCACATGCCCCCACGGGGCCGGGGAGCCTGCCGCCGAGGCACACGCCCGCCACCAGGAGGCGACCTGCGGTCTGCAGGCAGACGCTCCAGCCACTGGTCCGCACCGGCCAGGGCCAACCGAACGTTTTAAAATGAAAAACCAAAAAGCAAAACCTCATATGCAACCAGAACTGTATTTTTTTTTTTTTAAATATATTTTATTGATTTTTTACAGAGAGGAAGGGAGAGAGAGATAGAGAGCCAGAAACACCGATGAGAGAGAAACATCGATCAGCCGCCTCCTGCACATCCCCCACTGGGGATGCGCCCGCAACCCAGGCACATGCCCTCAGCCGGAACCGAACCGGGGACCCTCCAGTCCGCAGGCCGACGCTCTATCCACTGAGCCAAACCGGTCCCGGCCAGAACTGTATTAAACGCAGCACTCACTCTGTGCGGAGAGCCAGTGCTCAGTGCCGTCGAGCCTCTTCCACTCCCTCTGCGCTGTGAGGAGTGCGCACACGCTCACTCCTGACCTGCACAGCCAGCGCCTGCCGAGTGCGCCCGGAGTGGGGAGTGGCCCTGCCTTCGGGGCGAGCGGGGCTGGGGCAGGGGCTGGAGCGCAGGCAGCTCTCTGAGCTCTGAGTTTGCGCGGTGTCTGGTGTGCCCGCTGTGCGAGGTGGTGAGGGCAGGTGGCTCTGGTGCCCGCACAGTCCCGTCCCCCCCTGCTCCGGGTGCGTGGTTGCGCTCAGTGGGGTGAGCTCACCCGTCGCCAGTCCCGTGGGAGGAGCTGGCGTGACACGTGCTTCTGTCTCCCAGGACATGTACTCGGGCACCCCCACCAAGGTGCCACACCTGGACTGCCACGTGGAGGACGAGTTTGACTTGGAGGCGTGTTTGACTGAGCCCTTGAAAGACTTCTCGGCCATGAGCTAACCTGCCCGCGGACCGCAGAGCCAGGGCCGAGCATGCGTCGCCCGTGTGCCACGGGGGCTCCTGTTAATAGTTATCACCTGGTGAATTGTTATTCTTGCCTTATTTTTTAAACAATTTTATGTATAGTGAGTGTATTTTGCGTGTTTTTAATCGTAAATGCAATTAAGCCCAATGACAATTGAACTTGAAGCAATCCTATGACAGACTTAATTGCTTGGTCCCCACCATCCCCCAGTTCACCCGACAAGCACACTGGAACCAGTTTCCACCGAATTCCAGATGCCAAGTTGCCGCTGGTAGGTGGTGGTGTGGGTGTCACCGTGCTCAGGGGCCGGTCTCGTGTCGGCTTCCTGGACTGGTATCTGAGTGTTCTCACCTTCGGGCCCTTTCATGTCTTTATGGAAACTTAATTTTTGGCCTTTTGTCAGTATGTCAGGGTGGCTTTTCCTGCACACAGAGCACTGACCAGTCAGACACTGAAGTCGTAAGTTACTAAGTCACGCAGTCCAAGTTGGGTCTTTGTAAATAGTGCCAGGTAGGCCTCTCCCAGTAATGCTCCAGGAGTTACGGCAGCAGAGGGATTTAGAAAGAGCATTTCACACAGTTCATTCACCATGTAAAATTGCTGTAAATGATGATGTATACAGATTTCCTGTTCAAACATTTTAATTGTAAACTTCTTGTTAAGACTGTTGTTAAGTTGTATTGCTTTTGTACGGAATGAGATTGCAAAAATAAAAGAGCCTTTAACTGATGGATTGCGTTGCCAGATCGGCTAACTGCTGAGGCGGCTCCTGGGCTTGGAGGGTCTCGTGTGCTCTGTCCTCACCGCGTGGCCTGGGAGGACAGCACAGGGGGGACAGGGTTGTGGCCCAGGCTGTTACATGCCCCGCCC